ATACGTACTCACAGACACACACACACATACATATAAATACCTCGATAATATCAGAAATGTGTATTCGATACAAATGCTGGCAGTTTGGGTGCAGCACGTTGAATGGATGAAACATATGTGATGTGAAGATACTAGGGATGCACCGGATTCAGGTTTTTCAAATCCGGCCGGGGCCGGACTTGGCCGGATTTGAAATTCAAAAACCGGCCGGGGCCGGAGCCGGATTTTAGTTACCATTTTACATACGTTAGAAAAAATACTCACATTTACGGTTATCTACATGTTGAACATCAAAAAATAACACCAAGCAAATAGTTATTTAATTCAAATATATGAATAAGTTGTGTGATACGCCAAATTCTGTACACAAAGATCAGCTTATACTTTATGCATATTTGCATAACCTAAGTTAAAGCACAAAGAAAATTGTCCAGCTCACCGCACAATTAGTGATGTTGTAATTATGTGTCATGTATACCTAGCCTAACCTTTAACATACCATGTTCTTAAATTATGTGCTTATGTATCTCTCTCTCTCTCTCTCTCTCTCTCTCTCTCTCTCTAAATATATATATATATATATATATAGATATATAGATGTTGGTAATAGACCATAATTTTTACAATATTCTATAAATTCTACCGAATGTTTGGCGTTATCTATAAATTCTACCGAATGTTTGGCGTTTTCTATAAATTCTACCGAATGTTTGGCGTTAAACGGTAGAATATTGTAAAAAAGATATATAGATATATATCTTTATATATATATATATATATATATATATATATTATGTAGCTATATGATCCGTCATGTGCAATTATCAATATATAGTATATACACGTGCACAAGTTCTTTTACACAAAGATCAGCTTATAATTTATGCATAACCCATGTTATAGCATAAAGAAAATTGTCCAGATCACCTCACAATTAGTGATGTTGTTATTATGTGTCATGTATGCCTTTAGCTTAGCTTTAGCCATTAACTTATTGACATAAAATTAATTGAATTCAATGAAATTTTTTTTTCTATTTCTAACATTTTTAAAAGTTGATAGACGCTTAAATCCGGCCCTAAATCCGGCCACCAAATCCGGCCGGGGCCGGATTCGACCGGATTTGAAAAAAAAGCCGGATTTTGGCCGGGACCGGAGCCGGGGCCGAACTTCGGTGCATCCCTAGAAGATACTCATATATGTATTCAAAAAAGAGAGAAAAAGATGATGATGAAGAGAGAGAGGAAAAAAGAGAGAGAGGAAAAGAGAGAGAGAAAGAGAGAGAAAAGGAAAGTAAGAAAGAGTGAGAATAAACAAAAAGAGAGTGAGAAAGAGAGAGAAAGAAAGAGAAAAAGAATTAAAACTTAATTTAATGAAACAAAAAAAGATAACAAAAGGAAAAATGGAATGATTTAATAAGAAAGAGACAGAAAAAAAGAGAAAGAGAGAGAGGTAAACGTAAAGAGAGAAAGAGAGAGAGAGAAAAAGAAAAAGAGACAGAGAGAGAGAGAGAGAAAGAACAATGAAGAAACACGTACGTGTATCTGTATATAGAATAATAATAGCAGGTAGTCACGCATAGTTTCAGATTGTGTTCATTTTCTCACAGCAACCGAGTAATAGTCTTTCAAGTATTCTATTAATACACACAGACACACACACACACACGCACACGTACATACGCACACACACACGCACGCACGCACACACGTTTATAAATATATACAATATAGATTTGTATAGAATATGGATTTATATAACAGTGTGAATTTTCTGAAGCATTGAAATGTGCGAATAGAGAAGCACATGCAAGTGTACAGAGAGAGAGAGAGAGAAAGAGAGAGAGAGAGAGAGAGAGAGAGAGAGAGAGAGAAAGAATGAAAGAGAGAAAGAATGAAAGAGAGAGAAAGAATGAAAGAGAGAGAAAGAATGAAAGAGAGAGAGAGAGAGAGAGGGAGAGATACAAAGACAGAGAGAGACATTCACATATTGAAGTTGGCGTAATAAAGGTAGAACGAAAACACTGCAGGTAAAACAGGTGCGTTCAGTAAACAAGTGATGAAGACGATGACGACGACGATGATGATGACGACAACGACGACTATGATAGTAATGACGATGTTGCTATGATGTTGATAAAAATGATGATGCTGGTGATTGGTGATTAATATTCAATGAGTACATGGGCGTTCAAAGTCGCATTCATCATCATAATCATTGTTTTGCATTGATCGTCATCATCGCCATTCTCATCGTTGTCTCTTGCAGTAAAAGCTGTAATATAAATGATAATTAAGATTGTGATAATTATGAGTGTGATAATAATCATCGTCACGTCATATCATCATTACCCCCACATCACCAACATCATTCTATTCATCCCCACTGCCATCATCATTAGGTGAATGCATCGAGATGCACCAGAAAGAAACGACGTTCAGATTAAATGCATGTTCTGATGGATTGGAGTTGGCAGTGAGATTAGATTCCTGTTTGGTTGGATTCAGCGGTGAGATTAGATTCATGTCGAATTGGAATCGGCAGTGAGATTAGATTGATGTCGAATTGGAATCGGCAGTCAGATTAGATTCATGTTCACACGCAAGTCGACCAGCCAAGAACTACTAATTAATATTTCAATTAACGTTGAGCCTGCATTGAAGACAGGACACACCACACTTTTATATTCTCATTTCCTTTTCTCATTATGTTCATGATGATGATGATGTTGTTGATGACGATGATGCGATCAGACGATGGTGAAGACTGAGAAGATGATGATAGTGATAACGTGGTAATGATGATGATAACGTTGATGATTAAGGACGATGATGATAGCATTGATGATGACGATGATGAAGGTGATGTGAAAAATGTGAAAAAGGTGATGATGACAAACTGATGACGACGATGATGATAAAATGATTATGAGGCTATAGCAGCACGATAAAATGAGTTATAAACACTACAAAGGCAACTATGATAATGAAAGTTATAATAATAACAATAATGATACTACTAACTACTGCTACTACTACTACTGCTGCTACTACTACTACTACTAATACTACATACAATAAAAATAATGATACTACAACTACTACTATTACAACAACTAATAATATTAGCAATAATAATAATAACGTTAGCATTAATAATAATAATAATAATAATAATAATAATAATAATAATAATAATAATAATATAACATTGTACTATAAATTAATGATGTTAATAGGAAGATAGCGTGATAAGGATGATAACAATGAAGCTTTATGAAAACAGAATGAGGAAAATGATGACGATGATGATAGTAATAATAATAATGAAAATGATTGCATTTTTTTATGCTAGCAGTAATCTTGCTGACAGGATGAATGAATGAATGACTAGATGAGTCATAACATTGATGACGATGTGATGATGAAGTCACTGGTAGTACTGCTAATACTCTTACCATCACACTACTACTGCTGTTATTAATACTACAGCTGCTATTACTACTACTACAACTAATGTTAATTATTAAAAATATAATAATAATAATAACAACAACAACAACAATACAAAGCCAATAATAGAATAAATAAGAATAAACTTTCAACGTAGATAGCAATAAAAATAATAACATGAAGTCGAGTCGAAGCAGTCGAAGAACGATGATCGATGACGATTATGAAAAGAAAAAATGAGAGAAAGAAGGGTAGAGAAGAAAGAAAGAAATAAGAAAAGCTGAATGAATGAGAGAAAGAGAGAGAGAGAGAGAGAGAGTCAGAGGAAGAAAATAAGAAAAAAGATAGAATGATAGAGAAAAAAGGGAAAGAATGAAAGAGAGAAAATCGGAAAAGAAAGACAAAAAGGAGAAACCGGATTGATTTTTTCATCGTAAAACAAAAGCTACTACCTCTTTTGAGGAGTTATTAATTTTTATTGACCATCTTCTCGTCGATGTTAGTTATTATTCATAATTATCATAATTATTTAATATAATTATATTTAATATAGTTACCCTTATAATTTATTGCCAAAATACCAACCGTGTCTTTTTCCGAAAAATTTTCCAGAACGGAATTATTGAATTGCTACGACGATGATGTGATAACATTACGACGATGATGAGTGCGGTCGTCATCGCACCTTCTAACTCACTACACCATCTTTTATTATTATTATCATAATTATCATCATTTTATCACCTATATTTTCAACGTTTGATTTAATTTTTTTTTTTCAATGAAATAAAGAAACGAAGCCAAGTACAAATGGAAAAATGTTTGTGTTTGAAACAAAAATAAATTAAAATCAAAGAATTCTGAAATAAAAATAAACAAAAATAACAACAACAACAACAACAACAACATTAATAATAATAACAATAATGGAGTAACGGTAAAGTTTCTGGGGATGTTACTGCAGTGATCGGATTCACTGGATTTGAAAGAAACTCCGGCCCATAATATGTGACATGAAATGTTGTGATGTGTGTTTGTTTAACGTTGGTGAATCTGAAAATTATCCAAGACAGAAATACAATAAATAATTAAATAATAAAATTATATAAATTTACATAATACTAATATTAACACTACTGCTAATAATAATAATGACGTGCAGTAGCCCAACGCTAATGTATTTAATCAAATACTCAAATTAAAAAAATATAACAACCATATATAATGAAATAATAATAATTACGGTTACAAATTACGGTTTTTAAACGCAAAGAAATAACACAAAGAAATATACAGAAGAAAAATGAACAACCTCTAGTCAATAATTAACAGAACGTTCACAACTGTCCTCTCCTCTTATAAGGCCAACAAACCAATCAATAAACTAACTAACTAAACAACCAACAAACCAACCAACCGACCAATCATTAACGAGCCAGCCAATCCCCAACCAATCAAAAAACAGCCAGCCAATCATGAACCAGTCATCAACAAACAGGTCAGCCAATCATCAACCAATCACAGAGCAACGTCATCATTGACCAATCATCATCTGCAGAACGTAGCATCAATCTGCTTGATCCAGGGTAGGACCAACATGATCTTCTTCCTGTACATGGGATTGATTTTTTCAGGGTCGTCAGAAGACATCCATATTATGTTTCTCTCCAGGTAGATCGTGTTCAGCTTCTTCAGGGGCACTAGATGATGGAGGTCGTCCCAATTTGAGATTTGGTTGTCATTGCACTGTTGGTGGTTAGTCAATTGGTTGGTTCTGATATCTAAAAAATCAACTATTCAATCAGTCAACCAAACAGTCAGCTAATCAAATAAACTAATCGATCAATCAATCAATTAACCAAACCCCCAAATGACAAACTAACCAACCAACCAATCAATCAATCAACCAAATTCAAACCAACCCAGAATTCTTCCAGCGTAGATATATGATTGACATTCTCAATCTTTTTGATTCTGTTGGCAGCTACATCCAGTATTGTTAATTTGGTCTTTAAAAACAAATTCGTCAGTTACACACAGAAAAATGTAAATTTACAAAAATTACATTTTTTACATTTCTATTATCTGATTACTATTCACTAATTCAACGACATTTAAACATTGAAAACCTATAACAATATAATAGACAATAAAAATGATCAGCCAAAAAAAATCCATCTTAAATCTACCTGACATCAAAAGTTAAACTTCCAATTTAAGTTCTTCCCAGTTCGACATCCAATCAAAAATATAACATTTAATCTTTACAAAAAATGTTGTTTATAACAATTGCAAAATAATAATTAAACTCTAGAAAAATCAGACCAGTTTTTCCAAGCCTTCAATCTTCTCAATGCCATTGTGACTGAGGTAGAGCTGGTCCAGGTTGATCAGATTCTCCAGGTTCTCCATCCTCACAATCCTATTACTCTATGGGAGTGAAATGAACTGAAATTAATTTAAAATAAAACTAATAAATTGGATTAAATTATATTAAACAAAAAATAATAAATTGAAATTGTGAACCCTTGACACAAAAATGGGACATATTCTAATAAACAATAACTGGATTACAATATGCACAAGCTATAACAATAAGATATAATTACGTTAGTTTGATCACTCGAAATGGTATCATCTTGAAAGCAATTAATTTTCTAGAATGAAAAGTCTGACTGAAATTCAACAAAATTTCATGGTAATGAATGGAAAGCCAACCTTTCCAAAGGTTTATTTTGTCAGAATATAAACCAGCAAAAATTAACTTTGTTTGCCATAAATAAAGTAAATATCTTATTTACAATTAAAGAACACACAAGCCAATACTGTTTTTTTAAAACTTCTAAGCCTAATAAAAATGCAAGCAGAAAATTTCATCAAATTTTTCTCAAACAAATTTGAGGACAAATTATTTAAATAATTAAATAAAATATAAAATAATAAACAATAACAGTTACAAAATGAATAAAATATGAAATAAATCAATACCTGCAAACTAAGTATTGTAAGATTTTTGAAGACATTCAAATTCTCTATCTTGTCAATTTTGTTCTTACCGAGGTACAAACTAGTCAAATTGACCAAACTTTGTAGGTTCTCTATTTTCTGTTCAGATGAACATGTGTAGGGAAAAAATTATTTTAAAATGATAAAAAACTGCATCAAACATCATTAATTACTGATACAAAAGAAGAGCTGAAAATTCTCTTAGCAGACCTTATAGACAGCAAATATAAAGATATATAAGAGTAGCTAGAGAAATGAAATAATGAAAATTTCCAAGTTAAAATTGAGGATGATGACAAAATGAGCAAAAATATAATACGAGATAAAAACAATGTAACAGTGTAACACAGGCTAAGGAGTATATTAAATTAATATAACACAAAACAGCAAGCAAAACAACATCAGAAAACTGAAACAGACTCTAATCCTGTTTGATCCCAGTTCCAGCATTGTTAGTTTTGTTAGTTTGGAAAGGTTCTCGATTTTGCTTATTTTATTCTGAACGAGAAATAGTTTGTTTAAATTTGTCAGGACATCGAGGTTCTCTATTCGAGAAATTCGGTTGAACGAAAGGTCGAGAATGCTGGTAGGGAAAAATAAAAATTTGGATGTGGAAGAGTTCAAAATGAAAGCAATTTGAAATAAAATATACATAAAATTTAAAATGGGCTAGTATAATTCGTTATATTTTATCTAGATATGAAACAAATAAACAAAATCATAATTTTTAGATCTAAAACATGTTTTCCTAAGAGAAAATCTAAAATATTTAATGAAACAGATTATTATTAAACCAACGTTAAATTGACAAGTTCTTCAAGGTTTTCAATTTTAGTGATGACGTTGTCATAAAGGTCCAACTCTTGCAAGCTGACATTGTGCAAATTCTCTATCTTCTCTATCAGATTCTGTCTCAGGCATAGCCTCTTTATAAAAAATATTCTTAATTACAATAATATGTTAATTTTTTGCAAAATGGATGAATGAATTTAACAACAATTAAATTGCAAAAATTATTAAGTATTGCAAAAAATGTGATGAAACTTTATATTTTATAAGCAGAAATACCTAAGATCTAAGAATTGCATAATATTAATCACAAGGTAGACTTTATGACTAAATAATGAACAATGTGATGAATTCAATCAAAGCCATTGTCTAAAGGTCAGTAAACAAAAAATAGGTTGTTGAGGTATAAAAATCAACATCACTATTGTTCTATTCTTTGAACTATTTAAAAATATAACTTTTAAATTTAAAGCAGGACCCAAACATTATGGCGATTAGATTATGAAGTTTATAAAAGTGTGGACATTACTTTTTCTTATAATTTGTTATGCTTTCTATTTTTATATTATCTTTCCTTTCCCTATAAGTGTTGCCTATATATTAAGAATTATCTAAAAATTCATATAAAATTTTCAAAGTAAAAAAAAAATTAGTTAAAAAAAAGAGTGATAAATAAAAATAAATAAATACAAACTTCTAATTGTGTTAAATTTTCTAAATTTTCAATCTTCCCAATTCTTTCATGATTCAAATCTAGCTCCTAAAGAGTAGTAACAAATAAGGAGGATTTCATTCAAACATTAATTAGTATTAAAATTAAAATGAAATGGATATTAAATAAATAAGTTAACAAGAATACTACATACAACTGCATCTTCATCAAGTACAATATTTTCAATTTTGTTGATTGTTAGGGCGGTTTCATGAGCTTTTTAAAATTAAATAAACAACATTATTATCGTATTACACACTTGAAAATAATAACCATAAATGTCAAAGCGTAATTAAGAAGGTTAGTTACTAACTCGGGTCGTCAAATTTATTTTCATTTGTCAGTATTTTCTCCGGCGATCTTGCCATTTTTATCTGCGGTGCATCTAATAACCTCGCTCTCTTTCGAATTATTTAAAACCATCTGATAAATTTTGATTTTCTGATATGAAACAGTTAAATAAATAAATATATTATCAAATAATGGTTATGAAATTATCAAAAGTATGAGTTTTTTCAAATTTAGGTGAATTAAATACGTATTATGTTTATATCGCAATTCAAATGAAGATCGGTGGTATCATATTTCTTTCCTGCGAGCATTCATTTTAAAAGCATCCTTATTTCTGCTTTTTCTTTATTGCAAAATCGTGTTATCTCCATGAAAATATATCATGGTTATCTCACTTTCTGAAAGTTGAGCCCTTTAAAAACATTTTTTTGAAATCTGGTTTGCGTAAAAAAACCAATGTAACATACAAACACATGGCACCTATTAGTACAATACATATTTCGGTAACTTAATTTGTTTCATGTTAATTTTATGGATATTTCAATTTTTATTTCAATTATTGTATAATATTTCAGAATAACAATTCAATAACGATAACAAATAATTTCAATTTAATAAAAATATCTCTTAAATTATCATTAATCTATAACAACAAAGGCGATATTTCAATAGTCGATAATGATGACGATGATGATGATGACGACAACGATGACGATGATGAAAAAATGAAGATGAAAATGTCTGAGAAAAGTCTGGCGAAGATGATGACGACGACGACAACGATGACGTCACACGATGATTTCTTAAGGGATGCAAGTTCTCAGATAGGAATCATTATGCTGAGACGTATAATATAAATATAACTCTATGCATGAACTCTCATAACATTTTAAACATTTTAGACTGAAACGCATGTAATAATATTTTTAAATATTTAATAAACTATGAAAATATTATGAAATAATTATAAATAATAGTAATAATAAAATGACCCACAAAAATAAATTCATTTTAAATGCTTTCTTACTGACTGTTCTATTTTGCTCGTTACAAGTAAAAAAATTTTTTTTATTTTTGCAAAACAGAAATAATAACTTTTTTATATATTATTTTAATATATTATCTATTTATGTATTTCTAATTATGCAATTAAATTAATTAATTTACATTAAACATACAGATTATAAGACTGTGTAGAGTTTTAATTTTGTTTTCCAAAATCTGAACGACCGATTTCGATTTTTATATGAATTTCATTTTTTTAAAACTAGTTTTTAAATCATAAATTAACAACGACGATGATGATGACGTCAATGCTAAAGATGATTATGACGATAATAATGATTAGAAACCTGATAACGATAGCTGACCAAAAATCGGAAAAACGTTTCTTATTAGTTTGACCTTGCACGTTTATGATGAGGCCGAAGATTGTTATTATTATTATTGCTATTGTTATTATTATTTTTATGGGAAAAAAATTGTCTAATGACAGTCATAAAAATAATTGAGATCTTTCTTATATGCACCTAGCATAGCACGATGTCACATATCAGATTACATTCATAATTGGATTGACTGTTTGCTTGCTTGCCTGTTTGCTGACGTATATGTGATGAATAATAGCAACAACAACAACAAAAACAACAATAATAAGCAACAACAGCAACAACGACAACGACAGCAATAATGATAATAGTAATAGTAATAATAATAATAATAACAAAAACAAATAACAATAATTCAGACAGCATTATGTGACACATGGAAGGAACAGGAAACATTGAAGAAGATAAAAGATGACTACCATTGGGTCATTGGACCAGCCTCGCCCTGCTCTAGAACGTGTGGAAGAGGTAAGGTCATTTTATTTTCCATTCAGGGTTGGGTAGGGTCTCTACCTTTGGGGCCCTCACGGGCCATAGGCCAACACAAAAAAAATTAATAAGCGTCATCAACTTTTATGCTTTATCGACAAAATATATTTCTTCCGATTTTACTGAAAATACGTGCATAACGACAATGTTTCATTTGTTAACGGGCCAATTTAATTTATCTAAACATATTTTATTTGGTTGTAAAAAATTGCTATTTTCATTTCCGCAATACACTAACGGTAAAAAATGATGCATCCAGTAGCGTCAGCATCTCTACAACAATCAGATCACAAGTTTTAATGATTGAAATTGATGAAAATTCTAATTATTATTAACAATAACATTCAGACAAGATCAAAAATTCTTAAAAAAAATTATTGCTTTCGTTTATTTAAACAAAAATTTAAAAAAATGTGGGAACGATAAAAATGAAACGCGAAAAATGATGTACGATGGAGGAGGCGCGCTGCATGCCTGTACACTTGAGAGATCAAACGACGTTCTGATAAACTTATTATCATCCCAAGAGTTGAAAGTTTCATGTTACTTAAAAAAGTTTATTTTGCCTGTAAAGGTTCAGGTTTTTTGTATAAAATCTTGCGTGTGTGTATGTGTGCGTGCGTGTATGCGTGTGCGTGCGTGTATGTGTATGCGTGCGTGTGTAGAGTAAAGTTTGTGTATGTTTTATGCACACTTACTTGATTTTCGCAAATAAAATAAACGTTATGATTCTCGAACTGAAGTTTTTTACCGACAAGCTATAGCCCTACTGCATAGTTTCACAATTTCAATTAACGAAAAAGTTTGTGTTAATCACAAGAAATTAACAATACCTTTTTACACTACAGGTACAAAACTGTCCTATTTTGAATGTTGGCACAAGTCGAAGAATATTTCGGTATCGTCGGTGTTGTGCTCCAATTATCCGAAACCCGAACCGGCTGTGTCGAGATGCTTCGAGAAACCATGCCATTATTCGTTGGTATTTGTGAATGTTGGAAGAAAAACTTTCATAAAATGAATGAGTAATGGATGAACGGATTGATTGACTGATGGTTAGATGGATGGATGGATTGATGGCGTGCTAAAATGATGGATAAATAGATAGATATATGGATAGATGAATGGATATAATAATCTACATTTGCAGTTGGTTCCTAGGTGAATGGGGTGAATGCTCTGTGATATGCGGAAATGGAACTAGGCACAGGTAGGTTAGGAATGAATAAAAGAATGAGCGAATAAATAAATAAATAAATAAACGAATAAAGGAATGATCGATCGTGTCCTGTCAAACTTGAAATTACATCACCTTAATTTTAAAAATTCCTATTTCTTGATTAACCCGATATCTAAATTACATTACATCACATTACATCAACCCAACACTTACATCACATTACACCACATCACATTAACCTAATTCTTAAATGAAATGACATCATCAACTGACATCACCAAACGATATCACCAAATGACATCACCAAGTTACATCAAAATAACTTCCTCCTCGCGTAGAACAATACGCTGCGTGAATAACATTCGCCAACGAGCGCGCACGTACACACCAACATTTGTATCAATGGATAATTGTGGGTCACTCAGCAGACCAGCTGACCAGGAACCTTGCAATGTCTTCAAATGTCCGTACTGGCAAGTTGGATCGTGGTCAAGTGTTAGTTGTGGTTTCGTTAGCTGTTGCTTTTGTTTCGGTGCTTGGTTATGAATTCGGCTGAGTTTATACGATGGGATGTTTTTATTTGGTTTTAAATTATGTTATTTATGTTGTAATTTGAAGAGTTCTTTGGTTATTTTATAAACTTTGCTGCTTTAATGTTGAGTGTGTTGTTTGTTTAATAGTTTTTTTGAAGTTATGTACTTACGGTATATTAGAAAAATAATTTTTAAGCCTACGAATATGCAAACAAAATTATGCGTTTGTAAAATTTTTGTGTGCAATGTTTTGAAGTGTGCAAATATATTCCTTATAATTTAAATTTTATGTGAAAAATGTCTCAATTTTTTTTGTCTTCGAGGAGAATGCGTTCCTTTGTGAAAAATAAGAAAACTGGAATGAATTAATAACAGCCTCTCATACATTTATTTTTAATTAAATTTAAATTTTTAGAATCGTCAAAATGTTATTAACTTTTTCCAAACTAAAAAAAAATAAATAAATTTCGAAAAGAGAGAATCAATTTAAATTTATGCGATGAGAACGAATTTTTAATTTCATCTGCACTATGGTGGTGGTGCCTGGGGGTGACGTGGTGGTGCCTAGTGGTGATCGTAGTAGTTGGGTGGGAAGGGTGGGTTCCTGTTTGGTGGTCGAATTTGAGGATGGATGTATATTTGAGAAAATTAAGATATCTGGCTGGTTGGTTGAATGGCTTGTTTGACGAGTTCGTGAGAAATTAAAATTAATAAGAAACACGATGGTTACTAAGAAATGTTGTGTGTGTGTGTGTGTGTGTGTGTGTTGAAACTTGTGTGTATATGTGTGTGTGTGCCTGAGTGTATGTGTGTGTGCGTACATGCATATCTTATATTATATGTCTGTATTTGTATGTGCGTGAAAACATGCAGATGGCTGTGTGAGTTTGAATTCAAATGAAATTAAATCGTAATAAATTAGCGAAGAGATTAGCATGGGAAAGAACAAAATTATGCTGAACTCGTGCTGACGCTTTTCATTGCAACGCGTAACTACTATGTATTTTGCCATATGATTATGATAATATTAAACAATATAAATATTCTCATAGAAAAACAAACTCTTATTTTGATTGAACGGAGTATTCTCCTTTGTTACGTTTAAAACTTTAACCATCAGTGCTCCGAATCATGTGGATATGGCTACAGAAGAAGAACAGTCGCCTGCGTTACGATAGCTGACGCCGACCATCTACCGTGCATTGAAGATGGCAAACCACCTGCTATGAAGTTGTGTCACAAGCACTGCGGCTCAGGTAAACTTTAATTTTTATTTATTATTTAAACGCAGACAGGCAAGAGCGAGTCGACCTGCAAATATGCACATCTACGCACTATTCAACGATTTGTACGTTTTTGAAAAATAAACATACGTATGAATGACAGTCAACTTGGAACTTCTACAATGTTTTAATTCTATTTTTTGCATCATTATCAACTTAAACAACGTTCTTCTCATTTTCAATTATCACTAACAACAATGACACACGCAGTTTTTGACAAACGAGAAGATTCCAGTAGTAGCAGCAGTAGCAGCAGTAGCAGCAGTAGCAGCAAGGATGTCGACGAAAACATCAACATCATCGACTACAACCTGCACAGCAAGTACAAGAAACTACACAACATCACCAAAAGGACTACATGGACTTCTGATTCTTCCGATGGTTTCACCCCAACAAGTTTGTATTACTCCGATAGCAAGAGTGAAGTTGGCAACGATGTCGGTCAGAATAAATCAACTGTCAAACATGAAATATATGATGAGAAAGATAAAAATACTAACATGAATGATGAAAACTCAAGCACCAGTTCGAAGACAACCTCCAAAACAACCACTACAACCGGTAAGAAACGCGATGAAAGTAAAAATACATCGATGGAGAAGTCGTTTGATGGTAGCATAGTAGACAATCATTCAACCAAACCAACAACTGAACTCCAAACAACGACAACAACAACAAACACACCAGAATCTAAAAACTGGTGGAACTTATGGGGTTCATCTGATGAAGATGGAAAAGATGAGGAAACTAACTTGGACACCACCTCCGCGATAACAACTGATTCAACTTTTGACGAGTTTTTCACATTCAACGATGGCAGTAGTAAAGACGAAAACGCGGAAGAAAAAAATGATAAAACAACGAAATCATCGCTTGCCTGTGGATTTTTTGACGATTGTGAAACGGATGACGTTGTGGATACAACTGCAGACAAACAAACAACAACAGACTCCAGTGATCGAGTTACTCTTAACTGTGACTTCTGGGGAAATTGCTTCACAGAGCCAACCAATCCTGTCACCGAACCTCCAACAGTCAAGGAAAAAATTGAAAGCGAAGACAAAAATTTCTACGTTTTTGGTTCGGATGAAATTTTCACCACACACGCTTTGAAGTGGAATATCGATAATAATGATAAAACAGACAACGAAACCATTCCGTTGAAATTTCCCAATGAGAATCTATGGAACAACCGAGACGTAGAAACTAATTCAGTCAAAAAAAGTACCTGGTCCAGTGGCGATGATGACAAACGTAACGATGAAGTTGGAAAGAATAGGAATGGTGAGGAGATTGTTGGCGGCGATGAGTCGGAAGATGATGCGTGGGGCTGGTTCAAACCGAAGAAAACAACTTCCAACAAATTGACAACGACTACTGATGACGGCATTTTTCCAACTCCACTCATTCCAACAGCTAATGTTTTTATACCACCATCATCAACATCAACAACAACTACTACAACGACATTATCAACAGAAAGATCAACGTCAACAACAACAACAACTTCAACTACAACATCATCACACACAACAACAACATCCTCGACAACAACTACAACTACAAAATCTTCAACAACAAGAGCGTCAACAACGACCACATCGTCATCACCAATATTGCTTTTAACATTGCTATCATCGTCACCATCTCCGGGTATCGATGAAAGCCGTGGAAAAACAAAAGATGACACCAAGCGTTTCTCAACCCAATCGATCAATCCTGTCCAGGACGATTCCATCATCAAATCCTACAAATTCATCCTGCTGACCGGATCCTACGACGTCACCCTGGTCATCTCTCAATTCGAAACTTACGTGTACCTACCTCTCAACTCCTCCATCAAGTTATCGTGCGACAACGATCCGAGTTTAACCGGCGATGAATACTTGTGGCTCAAGAACAACAGGTTCATCACCAAGAACTCAAGCATTGAACTGAGGAATGTCACTTTAGCATACTCCGGCATCTACTTATGCCTTAGAGGATCCAACGTCTACAAAGTTGCTCTCATGATCGATCACACATCGAAACTCCAGTCACGTACGGAACAGAAAACTGATTCGAACGTTAGTGATGGCGCTCACGCACCTGAAAAAACCAAAACCCACCTCATAAGACCCGACCAAAGTTATTTGAAGAAGCACAAAATACATTATGACGTCATGCACACGTCACGCAAATCCGGTCATCGTCATCACCAGCAGCACCACTATTCGATGCACAACGAAAAGATCGTGTGCAAGTTGGCAAGCAGCAAGTACCTCATCTACCTGGACACTTATTATTGCCAGCTGAAATACGCCAACATTTCCGAGTTCATCGACAACGCAGCCTTCCAATGGACCGGCCGTCCATGGAGTGAGGTATCAAGTCTATCTAGGGCTCTTTGAATTATAGTTTTTTGGGGATATTAAACTCACGAATGTTTACGTGGGCTGACAGCTGGGCTGGTGCTTTTGCAATACAACTCTTGCTGCTAGCGCAATAAGCAAAACACGCACAGTTGCATGAAAGCACACAAAAACAGATAAATACGTATCAAATTTACTTGCATATTTTGATAAAAACACATACAAATAAATGCATAAACAATAATCTCGCACGCACACTCACGCGCACACTTTACATCCAAACAGTGTTCCACAGAAAAATGTACAGCTCTTGGGATCAGTTCTAAACGACGAACTGTCGAATGTACTAATAGGCGGAATGAACGAGTGGATGATCAGATGTGCAAGCAACTTGGAACGTTTGTCGCCATTCCGAAAGCTGAAGAACTCTGCTTCCAAAAGTTTTGCTTTCCAAGATGGGTTCCTACTTCTGCTTACTCGCAGGTTTTTGATGTTTGTTAATTGGAAAGTTGACTAAATTGTATTGAATATTCTGCTTGATGAATTACGAAATGTATTTAATTAGCCACCTAACATATTTCGTATCTACTTTTTGTTCAATTATTTGAAAAATTATCGAACTTTCCAAAACTTAGCAGAAAAATTTATCAGTTCATTAGTTTGACCGATCGATCACTCCAGCAAATTAAAAACTCACTTAACACACCACAACAAAATTACTGAGACAAGACCATTTCTCGCACACGCACACACACGCAGTGCAAACGCAGATGCGACTACAACGAGGTAGTGCAGAAAAACGTTTCGTGCGTGTGGAAGAAGGAGGAGCCGGAAGTGTTGGATGAGTCCCTCTGTGCCGGGAAGCCAAAGTCCAACACCATACGATGCTCCATGCTGTGTGGTGTGGCTGAAAGAGGTGCTGATGCTAATGATGATGATGTTTGTGATGGTAATGATGCTGATGATGGTGATAGCAATGATGGTGACAATGAAACAACTACGATGATGATGATGAATGATATCAATGATGATGCCAGTGTTTTGATGATATTTGTAGTGATAATGGTGGTAATAGTGATGCTTTTTGTAGAGTTTTAGTTAATTATAATAACTATTAATCGTTCTATAGCTGCTCTGAAGAAAGCTGAGAAAGAGAAAAAGAAATGCGTGGATCGTGTTGGTACATGTGAGTTGGTGACGAAAGTCATGTGCAACCAGCAGTCGGTCAAGACGAAGTGTTGCAAGTCATGCTCTGTCCTCTTGCAATTTTAATGAATATTCAATTCGGAAAGTTTCTTCGATAAAAATTAATAAGAAATGAATATATTTTTATTTGATTTTATGTGAATTTAGAAATAAATACCAATCTTTGCATACATTTAGAGTGTATTTTAACGTACGCACTTATACATTTCAATTTGACTTGCATTGGATTATGCCATGTTTTAGGAACTTAGATTATTTCACCATTTTCCTCTTGTTATATCGCATGTTGTTCAGCTTAAAAGTGTAACACGCACACACATACACAGACGCACACACATTCACGCAAACAAACAAATATAACTCAATAAAACATACATATTTTGCGAAACCTTAACCATACGATTGTTGAACATTGAATTAGTTGTTTTTTAATAAAAAAAGTTTCCAAAACTTTATTTGGTCAACCGACAGTCGTTGTTATATTGTGGTTTTAACGGGTCTTTCCCCGTGAACTTATCTCCAGGTGATTATAATGATGACATATTTATTTCTCATTTTAATAGTTTTGAAAGCAGTTAATTGGTAGCTGAATTTGATAGTTATGGCAACGGATGATGACGACAATGATTGGATTATTTAAACAGTTTCAACAATGATCAAACAAAACACAAAATGACCACACAACAACAACAACCACCATCATAACAACAACTAATTTTTTTAACCACATAGTACAATTAAAGAGCAGCTTTTATTATGAAGATGTAAAAATTTTCGTTAGGGTACGGTTGGAAGTGATGGGGCATATTTCTGACTTTAACCAACAGAGTTAATTCTATAATTCCACATAATGAAAGAAATAAATGTGCGAAAAAATTTATTCATTTATTTAATAAATCTAAAAAAAAAATGGAATATCAATATTGATGAAGTTGTAAAGTTGACAAGAGTAAGACATGACATACAGTCCTTATTTTGTTGTTTCTTACTAGCTGGTTGTCCAGAGTTGCTGTTAGAAAACCCATAACCGATGTATAAAATGTTTTAAGAATAGTTACAGATATTGAAGGTAATTGCGAAATAAATTCTTTTAGGAAGTTTACGATGAAAACTCCGTAAAAACTGACTCATATTAATAAACTGTTTGGTTGATCAAACAATAAATCAATGAATTAATAATACTAATGATAATTTAAAAAATAATAAATGAATAAATAAACAATTGTATAGATCAATTTAGTTGGAATTGTAGTTAAAATTTTTATTAGTCAAATTAATTCCCGAATATCCGGTTTACGTAAAAGGCATTAAAAATTGTATTCTGATGAAAAAATATTGAGAAGAAATAAAAAAATTGAAGAAAAAATTGGTTGCATATATTTTACAAATTAACGAACGTTCCAAAATCATGTAAACATGCACACGCACACACACACGCACGCACACACACACAACACACACACAAACACACACTCACACACACGCACACACACACATCACATTCATAGACAACCAGTAACAACCCCTCTTATGTTGGTTGACTGTGTTATATATATTGGGTTGTTGTTAATGAAACACCTGTTAAACAAAAATGTCTCAAGTAAATAAAATGATAATAATTTAATTTAATTTAATTTAATATCATTTATATTAAAAAGGTATTTTCAGTTATGAATAAAAATCAAAATTAAAAATGAATGAGAAAGTTAGGACCTCTGAATGCAGCCAAGCATGCTCGTACTGGAGAAGACGCCTGGAATGTTCCACAATGGATCTACGCATGCAAAAGTAAATAAGTTAATGATAAAATTTTATTAATTAAGCTTTAAATAATAAATTAATTGGTCACACCTTAATAGATACACACTCGATGTGTACACTCACTCACGTACGCATAACTTAGGGCATATATATATACGAAAATAACAAATACGTTTATTAAAACGGCGCTCTTTATTTTGTTTTACACGCACACACAAACAAACACACGCACACACCTTTGACGCCCCCAAGGTAGATAGGGACACTGAGCGGGGCGGCATAGGCAAATGTGGAGTCGAACTGTTTGGATTCCTGGTAAATGGAATCGACGGATAGCGTTACTCCGGCAGAGTTGATCATCATGTTGATCGTATGATACTTGTTGTTGCATACGTCGTACGTTGTTTTGAAGGCTCGCGTCGTGAAGATGAAAATGGAGCTTGAGCTTATGATCGCCTGGAACTGGTGTGTTGGTGATGAAGATGATAAAATGCTGATGACGTTGTCTGTTGATATTACGGTGTTGTGTTTGTGATTCTTTACGATGGCGATGCACATTTTTTCATGCTTTGGCAAGCGTGTTCCACAAAGTTTCATTTTAGAAATTTTATTTGTTTGTTTTTATGATCATCCAATTTTTAAACGTTTTAATATTTATTGATTAAAATTTTAGAAGAGTATGAAATAACATTTTGAACTTCAACTAAATTTACGTGATTATTGCTCTGATAGCCACGCTCTGCCGAATGAAAAGTCAATAGATTACCAAAATTTAATTCTCTTTTTCCTCTCCTTAGGCACATATTGAAATTAACAATATGATTTCAATAATTTGTACAAAACAGACATAAAAACAGTAAAAAAAATGTACTAGTCATTCAAATCATACAACAAACCTCCCCGTTAATAAGTGAAAGTGAAACAAATTTATTTGGAGAATCCCAAGCCACTGCCAAAACGCCAGACGTCGCGATAGTCTTGAAAGTCAAGATTAAGGAAAACCCTGGAACGAGACTATAAACAGGGTTAGCATTGTAGGAGTCGCTGACTTGTACGTAGCTGTTTGCCGTAGAAAGGTACATCCCTAGTTGGGCCCCGGACAGACAGTTTGACACCCCGACTTTGATTAGTTCTTTGCTGGGTGGTGGTTTGGTAAATTTTTGTTGTTAGTCATTTTGTCGAAGTAACGTTGTACTGCCGACGTTTTAAACTGTTGTATGTCATTTAACCAAAAGTTCTTTTTTATTATGTTCATTGCTTGGTTATTCTTTGCATGTGATGATGTTCAATTACGTAAATTATGCTCAGTATTGAAACAAAAACATAATATAATTTTTATTACAATTGCAAACATGTTAACATTAAAGCAGCAAAAATAAAACAACATCAATCAGCGAAGCAACACCATCTTCATCAGCACTCACCTTTCTGTGAATGTTATCGTTTTGTAGTTGTACGACTGAACGACCAGGTTACCAATGCAACCTTTGAAGTTTGTTTTACCAATCTGGAAGAATTCCACAAAAATAATTTTTCACAATTTTAAGGGTAAATTGTAATTTGACGTAGAAAAATTTTGTAGACACGAATTTTTTCCTTCAAATTAACAACGAAAATAAATTTTACACGCAAAATTGTAAAGAACTTATAAGGTTATATTTCAATTGCTAACACCCAATCCGATCTAAACTAACGGGAATGGTAGTTGGGTACGAGGTGAGTGAGAGCGGAAGACCTCCCGCGTACAACGGACTGCTAATGAAAAGGTTGGAAACAGCTGAACTGCTACTGTTGATGTCGACGTTGTTGTTGTTGTAGTCGCCCGAGTCTTCCAACAATATTGCTAAAAAGTTGTTCACCCGGACTGTTGTTACCTGTTTAAAAAACTCATTCAGTTAGTCAACCCAAACAACTGACTGAAATAACCAGTGCTCAATAGCAACTATCAATTTACATTTAAAACATAATATAATCATTTTTATTTTATTATAAAATTAGTTTTTAAAAATTTAATCATAAAATTAATTTGGACAAAACTAATTTTTTCTTCCATTCAACAGACCGAATGCCATTCGCCGTCATAGTAGCTCTTCTTAGAAGCCACAGTTTTCAGCGAGTTTGCATTCATGAGGACGACGTTGACGAAACCTTTGCTGAGGTAGATGGCAAAATAATCAGTCAGTGGACTGGTTGGCTGGTTGGCGAGATATAGCAGGAGGCCATCTGGCTGGAGGGCTTTGAATGTCAGCTGGACCACAAGTCTGACGGTGATGGCAGAGTGAGTATTATAGAAGATTAGGATGGAAGTTAATAATATTAATTTAACATGTTTGTACCACAAGTGCTTCCACTTATTATTACTCACCGCCACAAAACTCCACTCTCCATCACTCACTCCCTACTCACCCCTGCACGAAAACATTTTCCTCACCGACCACCGAGTAGGCCACATAACTTTCTGAAACATCTCCAAAACTGTACCCGCTCGTCGTCGCTGAATTCGTTGCCGAGTTGTTCGTAACGGAAGTGGGAGTGAGGCACTTTTGAGTTGTTTCGGAGCTAGGACAGGGATTGCAGGGCGGTGAAACAGGTGTCAAGGGGTTTTGGATGCCTCCGAGGTAGACAGATTTGCATTGATCCAGTTTCAAGTAGGTCGGGTCGTCAAATTTGATTAGGACCGGCTGGTAAGATGGCGCGTTGCTGCGATGTTTCAATTGAAAATGAAATTAAAAACGTCAGCTTTGAGGTCTGTAATTGTGAAACTTAAACGACTGTAGGCGCAAAAATGATTTTGCAATTTTAACTTCAGTTTTCAGACTTTTTGAATAATTATACTAGTAATAAACATCTGTGTACATTAGTACGATAATAAACAAAACGTAACTTCCTAACTTTTAATACATTTGTTGGTAATCAATTATGTGAATTACTTTCCACAATGATGGTGAGCCGCACTCACTAAGAGAGACCAGATGGTGTTTTAATTGAAAACAGATTATTGTACACAACCACAAAGTGTATTGTATCGAATGTTGTATAGTTGCATAGTGAATGCTTCCACGTGCTTGGACCCTTTCAGTAACTAACTTCGGATTAATTGTGATTTCCTTGAGACCACCGACGAACGACTGTCTGATAGGGAGGTAGCTGTTGTCCATCCAGACCGACGGTGGTATGCCCCCGATGTAGATGAGGTTCATCTTTAGTTTCATGTTCGAGTTCATGTTCAGGGCACCCACGTACGCTTCTGAGTTGTCTACCTTCATTCGAGGACTGATCGATGTCAGGGTTGAAGTTGGTCATAATTATTAATACATTTTTTTTAAAATAATGTTCTTGAAATTTTTCTCTTTTATAATGAAATTGTTTCTAAGAACCTGTTAACGAATCTAAAATCTAGAGAGAGCTTGTGCATGACGTTATCAGCCAGCATCAAGCTCCTAGTCCTGAAGACTGGCTGTCTGCCCTGACCCTGATCAAAGAAGATGAAGATGTCGCCATTGAAGAGGGCAATGTATAGGAAAGTGTTCGAACTCTGGTTGAGATTTTTTAGCGAGGTATCGTAATAATGTTTTACTATTTTTATTCTGTAATTTATATTAATTCATACTTAATGTTAAAAACTTCAGACATTACTTCACAAAACGTGACATCAAAGAAATTTTATTACACAACATTCACCACATCTCAGAACAACCACACACCACACGACAACCAGCACACCACACGACAACCAGCACACTCTCCACTTACAGTGGCTGTCTGTTCCAGGGGTGCGAACAACAAAATTCCACTGAGTGATGACGTTATAAAGGAAATGTCCATGGTGCCAATGGGAACGAGACCCGGTGCAATGACGCAATACGAGGAAGGCGTTGAGAACCCCAATCCAGACTGTACCTTTTTTTTAATTAAAAATGAGAAATGAGGAAAGGATTTTTTAAGAAAAAATTTCAACAGATGTAAGTATGAATTAAAAATTGAAATAAAATTAAAACATCAATTAAGTGTTACCATATATTTTATATCATACGTTTAACACTGTTTTTTAGATTGAATATCAAAAGAATAATAAAATCATAATTGAGACAGTTTGTACCAACTTGATCAAGACATGTATTCATGTCGACGTCCGAACTGCTGAGTACATCTGCACTCCAGACGTGAGGTACAAGTGCACCGGACGAGGCCGTCGTATGCTGGAAGTTCATCAAACTGCCAGAAAAACTTTTGGAAACTGGTCCTCGACTGAATAAATTTTATTTCATTTAACTCGTAAAAGAAGATGATTGAAATCTCTATTACCAACGCCACAGTTATTTCGCCTATCGTAACTGTCGCCATCGGCAGCGGCGAGTTTTGGTTAGGGGAACGTGGCCCCCTTATCAACAGTCAACAAAAGTTTTGTTGTGATTTTATGAAAATTCAAGCAACATATATCCTCTCCGGTAAACTTTGGTTCCCACATCAATCACTATTATAATTTTTGTCAACAGTTTCATCATGACTACCCCCAGCATAAGTTTGATACCGGCACACAAACAAGAGCAGACTACTAACATGTAAGTTCCATTCTGCCCGCCAACCATGTAGATGGCGCCATTGAGAGTTAGGAGGTTGGCATTGAAGAGGGTGGCTGTCTTCGTTTCTGAGGGCTGTGCCGTGCTGGCGTTCACTCGCTCAACTAACAATGTCATGCTTGATGGAGAATATGTGGCTGTGAACTTTTAAGTTTCATTTTTAAAATTAAGTGGCTTAAAAATTTTTATGAACATTCTTTTCATATACCTACTAGACAATAAGTTTTACTAACCTTGTACCAATTGCCATTGTTATAAGTAGAATCGGTAAGAGCTGAATAAAGTGCCATCTGTGAAGAAACATGAAAAACGACTTTGCCATTTTGTAGGAAGACGCCTAGAAAATCTCCAGTGCTCATACTCGACACTAGGAACAAAACTCCATTCGGAGAAAATGTTCTGAACTGGATGGAAAGTGAAGCGCCACTGGATGCAGTGAAAGCACCGGGAGCTGCTGGGTTGTATGCGATGTAACCCGATCCGTACGCCGTGACACACGACGTGATAGTCGAAGCTTGTGGCTCTTGTGGCGGCTTCTTGCAGCAGGAAGCTGTTGAGTCTTTTCTGAAAGTTGACTGCCAGATTGGCATGGTAACTCCATTATAGAGAACTCGATAGATGCAGCCGTTGAAACCTATGCCGCTGTCGTACACTTTTTGGATCTGCGTTGTTGTGTTCACCAGTTATAAGCAACTAGCATCATTGACTGATTATTTGTATAGGTAGACATTTAACAGTTGCATACAAATATTTATATTTTTCAAACTCTATTTTATCATGTCTAAACACTATAAACGTTATCAAATTATAGTTTTCAACAGTTATTGATGGATAATTCAACTTTTTAATTTGAAATTATTCATAAAAAAAATGCAGACAATACTTTGCATTTGTTGCATCACAGTTAACTTCAATTAGTTCATCCGTGTTAGCTACAAACAGCATTTAATGATACAAAGGTAACAAACATTAGCAGCATTGAGAGGCAGTCCTCCGACGTAGATGGGCGAGTTGAGGACCATGCCAAGGTTGTTGCTGGATGTCGAAGTGTTCGAGACTGTCACCGATCCCCCTGTCGAAAGAAGGATCACCGTCAGTTTTATGTCCAACTCGTATCTGCATGTTGTTTTTTTCATATAATTTTGTTGTTGTTGTTGTTGCTATTGTTGGTTTTTTGTACGTTTTTATGCGATTGTACATGCCTTGTAAGATTCCTATAAGTCTTTGTTTGTGGTGCGTGCCTATGTATGTCGATGTCATTTTGTATGTCATTTAACTATTAAAATTACTATTTCAAATACTTATTCATGTGATTTCAATAATTGGAATCTGCATAACCAATGAAAGTGTCATTCAAATCCACAATTTTAATAATTCAAATGTTTTCGTCATTTTTTTATTTCACTTTTAGGTTATATTGTGGTTGCGACATTTCAAACGTGCAGGCAGCCTAACCTCGTGGCATAAACCCGGTACCAGGCTCCTGCAGTGAGCTGTGCATAGTTGCAAACGATCGTCCTGCTGCCCGCGCTGCTGTACTCGAAGCAAACGGATCCATTTAGAATCTGGACCAGCAACTTCTCGTTTGATAGAGTGTTCTCCACAAATAACAAGACACCACGTTTCTGCTTGGGGAACATGAAATCTAGACCCAGGCTGTTGTAGAGGTCATTCACGTTGATATCCGGGTTGTTGACCTTCGGTAGCGTAGGCGTGTTGATGAGGATTGAAGATGACATTTATTAAAATTAGCAGGACAAAAAATTTTATTGACGATGTAACTTTCGTGACATCTCATCAACAATATCATTGTCATCGTAGTTTAAAATTTTATCGTATTCAACAAAATAACCATCATCACCTGCTCGTAAGTGTTTGGTTGAAAAAACACAGGTTGCTCCAGATTGGCCAACTTATCCTGCAACTGCTTGAAGAGGTTGCTGACGTTGTTGAACCTGGCATCGAGGGCAGGTCTTGAGGCGTTCACAGAGTCCAATGAAGTTCTCGTCGAGTTGATGGTGAGCGTACGTACCTGGTCCAACTTGGCTTTGAATGCTGTTACTGTTGGAGGGTGAGAAGGAAGGTGACTGAAGGAATTTTAAAAGTTGGGATGGCGATAGGTGATGGTGAAAAAAATCAGATCCAGTACTTGCAACATTGTTGGTTGAAACGGTTTCAAATGCAAGAGAATTTTGAGTTTTATGGTCTCTGATAAAAGACAAACTAGTAATAAAATTTTAATCGTAAACTTCTAGTTAAAAAATTCTAAATAAAAATAATTTAAATCATCAAGTCGAATTAACGAATACATAAATCCATTATTTTAAATCGCGAAAACAAATAATCAAAATCGAAAACTAAGAAACGTCAAAACGTTCAACGAACAGTTAGCCTTTAAAGAACTCTCCTCTACGTAAGCGTTCGTAACATCGATCGAAATGCTGTTGATACTGTTGTTCAGAGCGTCGACATTTGACCTCAGGGCATTGTTGGCGGTGTCCAGTGCGCTGAGGCTGGCGTTGTCCTCCTGGACCCGGTTCATCCCCGTCTGGTAGTTGTTGTTCAGGGAGGGAGAAATACCTGATGATGATGTTGGCGATGATGATGATGATGGCGATGATGATGATGATGATGGTGGTGGTGATTAAAAATATCAATCTCGTTACAAAATGATGTTGTTATTGCAAGAATTCATTTTCAATTCTATAATAAATTCAATATTCGATTCCATTTTTAAACATCCCTCTTTACTTAGCCATTATTAGAACCGTTATTCATCGAATATCGATCACCCATCTCTACTAACTCAATATAAAAGTCATCAAGTCGGTATAGGAGCTGGAGAAATTATTTAGAGGTGTGTCAAGTCCATTCCACATGTTCACCGAGTTCTGGAAGGATGTTGCCGCATCGTCTAGTGCTTTATTGAGAGCTTTTCGAAGTTGTGCATGAATGTGTGTGTAGATAGTTTAAAAGCTGGTAACATGAAAATTATATAATAATTCAATGATTGATAAATTATTTAAAAAAGTAAGCCAATTAATGCGATTGAGTTCAAGCAGGACACTGATTACATATATATTATGAAATGATGTATTGCAAGCTAGACGTTGAAATAATGATTACATTTATACCATGGAATGATGCAACGATTAAGTTGTCTATGTTATCCTCTTAAGCATTATTGTCATCATAATCATTACCGCACTGTCATCATCTTCATTCTCGTCATCACCATCACTATGCTAGTCATTCACCTGCATCGCTATAACTGGATGTCAGGTTATCAATTTGACTCTTTTCTTGGTTGGCCATAGCGGTAGAGATGTTGACTCTGTTCTGCAGGTCTGTTATGGGAGCCGCGTTCAAATACCTGGTGGGAAATGATTAAGATTAAATTTCGTTGTTGTTGTTGTTGGTAGTGGTTAGTGGTGGTTGTTAATGACGCTTTTGAATATCAGGATTTTGTTGGTTGTTGTTGTTGTTATTGTTGTTGTTCGTTAAGAATGAGGTTGATGATGAATAATAATGATGCTAATGCGATAACGAATTTTAATAAAAAAAAATGCATTAGCAGTAAAAACGATAAAATGTTTCAGTTCGGTAACGTTAAACAGTTTAAATGCCCAACTATCAACAACAATTCCATGAAATAATGAGAGAAGAACTTCGACAAAGAAAGGAACCTGAGAACGTCTTGGAGCGTGTCATTCATGCTCTTGGTGCTGTCCAGTGCAGATTGGAGGCTGACGATGACGCTTTGAAATTTGTTGATGGCATCTACTTGCGGTTGGCCTTTGCTCTTCACTTGGTCGAAAGAACTGGAAGGTTGGTGTGCAAGTTTTGAATTAATACTTTTGAAAGCCATTTTATTTTTTGTCTGAAATTCATTCAAACGTATATTTGAGCAGGAGTTTGAGCTATTTTAACAACTTCCGTTCAATATTGTAAATTAACACTGCTTCTAAACAGAAGTTCAGTTTGAATAATTTTCGACGCAAGCCATTAAATAAAGCACAAGCATCAGGAGTAAATTTACTTTTGACAACATTTCAAATTTTTGCGTTTACTTCTCGGAGACGTTTTGTTGTGTGCGATAAAATAAATAAATGAATGAATTCAACCGACCCGCTGATCGTGTTGGCCTGTGTGGCGAGAGCATCTGCACGCTGCTCGGCGTTCAAGAGTTTCGATTGTGGGTTGTTGAGGCTGGAGTTGACCGTGGTCAAGATCAGGTTGACTGTCTGGTAGGCAAGGCTCCACGATTGGAAGCCTGGTTTGGCAAGAATCCATCAAAATTTAAAAACATTATACCCGACCATACATACGGAAAACAAATTCTATGACATTTCATTTCAAAACATTAAATCAAATAAAAAATCCAACCGGAATCGATTGAAATTTGAGGTTGGTTAGTCCACGTTCCGTGCATGAGGTTGAGGCACTCGGTGAAGGTTAGCATGCAGTTGGTGAGGTTGGTTCTCGTAATGCCTAACAAGGTTTCAGTCGATTGTACGATGTCGCTGTAAGATTTGTACAAGTCGTTTGATTGCGTCCTAAGACCCTGGTTGGGTGGGGGTGTGTTGTTTGGGTGGCGTTGGGATTGATTTGTAGATGGGATAGGAAATTGGATCAAGGCATGGATCGTGACATGGATCATGACAATGTAAATGGTGATAATTTGAAAAAAACTCACGTTTAATGAACCTAGCACTTAGATTAGCAAATAGTGAAGATGTTGATATAGTGATGTCAATTTGTTTCTTAGGTTGTTGAGTTTAAAGATTTATCGCTAAAAAATCCAAGATGTTAAATATATAATGCATTCTCATAAGAATTTTTGCCAGGTATATTGCTACCATTATGGACAGCTTCCCATGTCAGCATTTTCATCATAGTCATAATCAGCTCTACTATTTTTTTGTCGGCAATGTCAATGATAGTTTTATCACATTCATCACCGTTATCAGAACTGTATCATCATCATCATCACCATCACCATCATCATCATCATCATCATCATCATCATCATCACCATCATCCTAATCTACACCATCATCATCATAATCGACATCATTACCACCATCATCATCGTCATCGTCGTCATTATCATCTTCATCATCATCACTATCTCCATCATCATTATCCTTATCATCACCATCGTCGTCATCATCGTCATCATCACATCTATCATCATCATCATTACCATAATTATATCAAAAAATTACACCACATCACACAGCACATCACTTACGATCAAACTGATGATATCATTTTGAAATGAGACCAGCTGACTATCAACCATTCGGACGGTCTGGTTGAGCGATAGGATGTTGGTGTCGGTACTCAATGATATTTGCCGAGATCCGAGTATATTCGATTTTATTGAATTCGTTGTTGTCTCCTGATAACGATCGAAATGATAATAATGGTGATGATGTGAAGGTGATAATAATTATAATTAAAATAATGATAACAATAAGAATGAAGAGTATTTATTCAAACGTTATCATCTCATAAGTACCAACACAATTAAGTACTATCATCGTTAATAAGAGTAAAGTACCATTGTTAGAAGTACAGCCAGTATCTCGTTGGCCCGTTTCGTGAGATCATTAGATCTCAACAACAGACTCGATACTTGATTCGACTGGTTGACGAACATGTTCGGTAGCGTCGAAGCGAATATATACGATGTTGAGGTGTTGTATGGCGAGGTCGCTAAGATCTACATTGATTGGGGGTTGATTGGTTGGTTGATTGATTGGTTGGTTGGTTGGTTGATTGGTTGGTTGATTGGTTGGTTGGTTGATTGGTTGGTTGATTGATTGGTTGATTGGTTGGTTGATTGGTTGATTGGTTAATTGGTTGGTTGATTGGCTGGGGTTGATTGTTTAGTTGATTGGTTATTTGAATGAGTGACTGATTGATTGGTTGTTTTTGGGTAAAATTGATTGATTGATCAATTTATAAACATAAAAAATGAGTAAATAAAGAACCTGGATGAATACATGAATGAATGAATGAATGAATGAAAGAATGAATGAATGAATGAATGAATGAATGAATGAATGAATGAATGAATGAATGAATGAATAAATGAACGAACGAACGAACGAACGAACGAACGAATGAAAGAATGAATGAATGAACAAATGAATGAATAAATGGCTCGATGAACGGGTGAATAAACTAACAAACAAATAAATTAACAAACAAACAAACCAATAAGAAAAATTAATTAAATTAAAATTAAATTAAAATGACAAAAAATCAGTATGCTAACGTTGGCCGCGGTCATGTTGTACGTTTGAAATTTGTTGACGTGCGAGTCAAGATCGCTGTTGAGTTTGTTGCTGGCCACACCCATGACGTCACTTTCTGTTTTGAGGGCGGTCATTCTGGAGAGTTCGGCGAGGGTGTCGTTGTTCAGCTGGCCGGCCCTCAGGTTCAATGCGTTGGCCTGTTGATGTTGTTGGTGTTTGTGGTGGTGGTGGTTCTTAATACGACAGCAATTTGTATTGAATTCATATTTTTAACTCTTTAGTAAAATCGTCAATTTTATTATTTTATAGACTATTCATTGATAATTGATTTCATTACCGTGTTATTTAGTTCGATAATTTTGTTGGCTCTGGTGACAGCAGTTACATTCAGCTGAATGTGCAAACCATTCTTAAAGAAGTAGTAACTGTTGCTGGCGTCAATGCAGCTGTTCAACTGCAAGCAGTAGTTGCTTAGCGTCAGCTGACTGCTGATCAGCTGTTGATTCAGCTGCTGAAACTGGGCTAGTTCAGTTAAATGAGATGAGATGCCGGAAGTGGCAGTGTTTACCATTGCAATGACGTCATTTCCCAGGCTTGTGGAGCAGACGTCGCATTCTTTTGATTGTTGTGGTTAAGTTTTATTAATCGTTTAGTTGTTTGGAAGTTTGTGTTTGCTGTTTTGTGTTGGCATTCTGTATTGGTTGCTGTGTGATTTATTCATTAACCTTCGTTTGATTTAATAGCATATTTGGCGTTTGAGATCAGTAATTAGAGGCAAACAATAAACAAAAAGATACTTTGGCAGTCCAAAACTTCTGGTACTGTGGAGTACATGGGAGCGCACATGCTGCAGTTCCTGCCGACAACGTTGGGTCTGCAGTTGCACTGGCCGGTCAGTCTGTCACATGTGGCGAGGTCCTGGGTGGTGTTCACCGTACCTCTTGGGTCACATGCACATTCTGATGAGGTAGAGATGATTAAGAGAGGGTCATGGTTAAAATTATTACACAGAAAGATACAAACACATACAATACAAAGAAACTCGCACAAGCATTGCGCTTACAGAAAAACAAATACACAAAAAAAACACAAGCACATACAAACTAATACACACAAACATAACATACACATTAAACAAATGCACAGAAACACAAACTTTGGCAGGGCAATCCGTTGAGTATCCCAAATGCTCCAACGGAACAAACATCGCACTTGAATCCTTCAGTATCCGGATTACAAAGGCAGGAGCCATTGCTGATGCACTGGGAACTTGCACTGCCCAACGTGTTACACTCACATGGCAGGCATCCTTTGACGGTGAAAATGAGAAGATGGTGAAGAAATGATGATTAGGAGATGTTTCTGAAATAGTAACAATCAAATTATCCGACTGTTTTAATCACAGTACACACACACACACACACACACACACACACACACACACACGCACACTCACACACAAACACACTCACAAACACACACACTAACACACACACACACACTAACACTAACACACACACACACACTAACACTAACACACACACACACTAACACTAACACACACACATAAAGTAAATAAAATTATAAAACTTTTCTAAAATAACCATTTGATGTGAAGTTGAAATAGTTTGGCAAGCACTGATCACAAGCTCTCCATCCGACTCCGTGCTTGCAGCGGCACTGCCCCGTCACCCCATCACAAGTAAGGTTCGATGAAGAGCCGGTGTAACTACAATTGCAATCTGATGAGATTAATGAAGTTGATGATGAAGATGATGATGGTGAAGTTAATGATTGAGATGATGGTGGTGAAGTTGATGATGGTGATTATGGTGATGGTGGTGATGGTGAAAATGGTGATAAAGATGCTGTCGTTCCGTTGTTGATAGCAAAATGCATGTGATAACGATGATGAAGATGAAGAAGTTGGTGATGATAAAGTTGTTGATGATGATGATGATGATGATTATAACGTTCAAGGTAGTGGCAATAAAGATGATGAATAATTTGACAGCCCGTGATTTTATTACATTATAAAAATTGATAAGAACTCCAAATTTTTTTTAAATATGGGAAATAAATTATTTAAAAGTTAAATTTAAAAAAAATTTTTAAATTATACGGTTTACAATTGTCTAAACTTTTACAAAGTTTGAAAGAAATTTGAGAGAATAATAATAAATCCACAAGACATCTACGTAAACTCAAAATTTAAAAAAAATCACAAAAACAAAAACGCACCCACACAAGCTGACGTCACACTGTCCTTATATTTACCGTCGACGCATTTCTCGCACGAACTTCCGGTAGTGAAGCTGGTGCAGTTGAGGCAGTTGCCGAACTCGTCGCAAGTCGTGCTGAGACCGTTGCACGCGCATGGCTTGCAGACGTTCATTAAATTGGTCGCCAGGTTGCCGTAGTGGTCGGCTCGGCATCTGCGTTTGTGGTGGTGTGTGGTAAGTGTGGTTGCGTTTAGTGTGGCGTGGCTGTTTTGTTTCTATATAATCATGAATGGCTTTCCTTTCGTTCATCATTACAATGGTAATCTCAATCACCCTTTCAATATCATCCAGCCAACTGACTTGTTGCAAATGTCTCCTTCGTAGCCGAAGGAGCAGCTCGTGCAGATCACCACACTTCCGTTCCTCACCTCACAGTTGGTCGAGTTAACTCTTGGTCCTTCACACGGACACTTTAGACAAGGCCCTGAACTTGAGGGGGGGTTGCGGTAGAAGCCAGGTTGGCAAAGCTCACAATTCGATCCTGACAGCAAATAAATTTAACAAGTTCACTATTTTTGTTTATTTATTTGCGGTAAAATTTATGTCACTACAACTACTTTTACTACTACTTCTACTACTGCTACAACTACAACTATAGTTGCTACCGTTGTAATTGCTACTACTATTACAAACAAACCAACGAACATACAAACAAACAAACGAATGAACAAACAAACAAACAAACCAGCTAACCAGCAGTATTTTGTTGGCAGTTAGAACAGACACCAGTAACTTCATCACACGTGTTGGACATGGCGCTACACTGACATGGAATGCACTTGCCCAGATAGTCAGATGTGGTCAGTGCGTCTCGAAAGTAGCCGAGCGAACATTTCTTTGTGGTTGTGGTGGGTGTGGTGGCGATTCATATTTTTATTTGCTTATTTGGGGTTAGATTATTGCTACTACTAATACTCCTGCTAATACAGCTACTACCACTAGCAATTACTACTACTACTACAGCTACTAAAACTGCTACTGTTATAAATACTACTAATATTTATTATAAATATTGATTGCAATGCTAAAAGTTTGTTGACAGCGGCTTTAATGAGTTGAGATTGAATTTTCTATGTAATGTATTTCATTATTATTATTAAAAATAAAACTAGTAAATCATTGAATTTAATTAATTAAATAAATTATTTTAAAATATTTAACGCAAAATAATCCCATAAATGCAAATGCAACAGTTTCTGCGTCTGTCAGATTTTGATTTTGTTTTTAAACAATATAAAAATACCGACAAAATATCGATATACCGAAACCGACCTCACAGGAACTTCCCTCGTAGCCCGGAGGGCATGAACACTTCTCAACAAGATTCGGTTGCATCTGGTACGTTAGACTACCGACGCTACGAATTTCATGGTGGGTGGGAGATTTTGAATTCAAGATTAGCTTAGACTAAATAGAATAAATGATTAGCTTAGACTAACCTGCTCTGATGTGCCACACTAGCAAAAACAGCAGGCAACAGAACTGCTTTAACATCATTAAGCAGTAGCAACACACTTGCCCTGGTCACACCAACAGTCGGACTGACCAAGTTTTCAACGGTCAAGTTCGTGGTCATTTGATATGGCACGTTTGGCAGCGGAATGGTGGGGTTAGAGTTTAACGTCTTGAAAGTCATCTGCGAGCCTGGAAATAAAATTTATCTCAATTTTTCTCATTATCGTCGTCATCATCACTATTATTACCACCTTTGTTGCTGATGACGATGACTTGAAGGGGTTGTACAGGAGGTGTGGTCAAAGTGGTTGCACTGTACATCGCAATGCATGAGATGCTGGTGCACGTTGAAGACGCGTGTTTTGAATTTCAATTAATTTCAATTGATTATAATTAATTAAATTTTATTTATAAGTAAAATTAATATTGAGAATATGAACAACGTAACGTGCACATACACAGCACCATAGAAACTCAGAAGGTTTCCATGCAAGTTAGGGTCGGACCAGTAGATGTTAGGCGACTGTTGAGGAACCGCCATGTTGGCCATGTCTCCAACGACGCTGATGATCGCCGGACTGGGATCGCCGCTGCTGCTGACGGCGATTATCGTGGATAGATCCGGAGTGAGATCGATGGTGGTTGGGATGTAGTAGGAAGCGGAACAGATTGTCGTGATTCCCATGCAGATGCAAGTCAAGCAGCCATCAGCCAGGCTCGGAAACATCGAGAAGCTGTTTATCTTGCATTCCGTGCACTGTCGGCCTTGTACGTTGGACTGTAAGTTGTTTGTTACCGCGAGGGAAATTGCAAATGTGTCTGTCTACTATTTCTTCAAATGCAAGCACATTCACTTGAAAACACTACAATCAAAACTACCACTTACACTTACACGCACGCACACACACACTACTAATTTCCCACTTACCTTGCAAGTACAAGCTCCAGTTCCCTTATCACATGTAGGACTGACAGCACCACCAGGATCACAATTGCATGGCGAACATCCGGCAGAAGTCAACTGCCAGAATCCGTCCTGACACTGATCGCACTTGAGACCCGTCACTCCGTACTTGCAGCTGCAACTCCCACTGCTGACGTTACAGGATAGGGATGTTGATCCGATCGTGTTGCAGCTGCATGGCTGCATGGTTGTTTTGATGACAAATGATTTTAATTTTAGTGCCGATTAACCTTCAAAAGCCTTTTGACATGAAATGGATGGAAAATTTAAAAAATCAGGCTTAATGTGCAAATTCAGTTTCATTTTGTAATTGTTACATATTTTTACAATTACAAAATATTGTAAAAAGGGGTGGCGACTTTTGGTCAAAACAGTTACACAGCGACTGATGTATTGTAATTACGTTTTTTTTATTATTATTACGATGACGTCAATAAAAATTTAAAATGGTGATGATGACCGCAAAAATCTCAGCCAACAATGAATAAATTAGTTGGAAACCTGGCATCCTTTCAATTCATTCCAGCTGTAATAATTGAGCATGCACGTCTGGCAGCGGTCCCCCTGTGAACCTGGAGGGCACAGGCATGACCCTGACCTTGGGTCGCACATGTTGTACGTCGTGGCTGTGCAGTTGCAAGCTGGAACAGGAGAGAAGTTATTTTTTAGTTCAATTATAAATAAGCAAAAATCTCTCAAATTAATTTCTGACCTAAACATCCAGCCATTCCTAGATTGGAAAAGTTGACATCACACTGATCACACCGCCTGCCAGTCACTCCGGGCTTGCAGGGGCACTTGCCACCGGCAGGCTCGCAGTACGTGAGGTTCGTGCTGCCAGTGAAATCGCAATTGCACGGCAGGGCCCCGTTCAACTTGAAGGTCGAGAGGGTGAAGAGAGGTTTCAGGCAGTTCGCGTTCGATGTGCTGGCGAGGGGTAGGTTTGTGGGTCGTAAAATTGGAGGATGGTGCTTGTTTTTTGTGACAATTTGTTTAAGAAAGTGTATGTTGAAAACAAAACTAAGTAAAAAAACAAATAATTACCCAGGATGTTTATGATTTTATTTTTAAATAATTTATTATTCGCATTATTAAGGACAACTTCAATAATTATGACAACTATTAAAACTAAAAAAATATTTATTCTGCAAAAATTGCAATCCAATCAGCTAAATTCCCCTTATATACAAAAAGTGCCCCAAATGACCCTAACCCCAGATCAGCATTAGCAGGAGGCATGCATGTAGATTGGAAGGAGGCGTCGGCAGGTTGGCCCAATAAGAAGGTGGCGTTGAAGTATTCAGCTGGTATGGCAACGATTCTGTCCTGTTTGGTTTTAGTAATTTTTAACTTTTCTTATTAACAATTTTGAATTTCCTTAATTAATAATTTTAATATACGTATAATCAATTCTTTTTTTGAAATTAGAGTAGGAAGTCGAAATTACATAAAAATGTATTAATGGAAGTAGCGGTTTAGCGGGGAATTTTTGAAAAGATTTCTCTTTGCTAAACTTATGAATGTAGAGCTAAATGCAAACTAAATTTCTAGTTAGTTTTTGAATTTTTAGATCTGTAGAATAAAATTTTGTAGCGAAATTTTTTAGACATTGTAAACTTCGTTAAAAATACCTGCCAATACACATAATACATACATATGTACTGTAAATACACACAAATATAAACATTTATAAATACAAATAAAAAAATACTTGACCATTCATACCAAATTAATAGCGGTACCCGGCACAATAGTCGGTATCGTGATGGTAATCTTAGACACGGTTCCCTTGGTTAGTGTAACATCGCCGATTGGTACGTACTGCCATGACGATGTCAGCGGTATGGCCATGTTCAGTGTGGTGCTTATCACGTTGTCTGGTGGTTTGAAAGTGGTTTGGAAGGGTATTGTTCAGTGAATTTAAAGTTTCAATAATTTAAATGAATGCTGATTTTACTTTAACTTCAGTTTTAGCATCGGTGAGATTGATACGTCAGGAGTTTCATCTGGAAGTCACGTCACAATCATTTTGCAGTCATAGTCATTATCATCGTCACAGTCAACGTCATCATCATTAACCTCACCACCATCCTCATCATCGTCGTCGTCGTCGCCATCATCACCATCATTACAAAGATCATCACCATCATTACAAAGATCATCACCATCATTACAAAGATCATCACCATCATTACAAACTTCATCACCATCATTACAAAGATCATCACCATCATTACAAAGATCATCACCATCATACAAAGATCATCACCATCATTACAAAGATCATCACCATCATTACAAAGATCATCACCATCATTAC